AATAATTCAAAGTGAGCTTGTAAATTCCACTTTATTAGAGGAGGCTATAAGTAAAATCTTACGAAATTTTCAGAAATTTAGTACCGCAAATGATACACTCCAAAAAAGCGAGACTGAAGATGAAGAAGTTGTCGAAGGTATGGAAATTAACTTTATCCAGGATAAGGATGTGATAGATATTCCAACTGTTCGGGGTAAAATCAAACATCTAGTACTTTTGGCAATTACAGTCGATCCTGGCTCAAATACTTTACTTATGTCTAGAGACATTGCTGAACGCTTGGGTTTAAAAATCGATAAAAGTACTACTCGTTATTTCAAGAGAGCAACCACTGTTCTGACAAAATCTATTGGAATGGTTTATAATGTACCGTTAACCCTAGCCCCAGATTGTATATTTTATTTAGATTTTGTAGTTATTGGATATGATAAGCCTATGCTGTTATTGAGCAATCCTTTCCTCTACCACACCACAAATATCAAATACTCGGGGAAAAGAATTTACTGAAGATCAATTGCAACGGGAAAGATTTTTACATTCCAGTTACTATGCATAAGTCGAAAATAAGCTTGAGGTACAACATGTTAATGCAATTCCATCTATTTCTGAAGAGACAGATACAGAGTTAAAAAAAAAAGCGTGATTAATCTTAATTTCATTCCAGATACTGAAATCTTAGAGTTCCATTCTAAGGTTTGGGACACACGACAAAACCTCAAAGATGAATTTCTTAGAGTTCTAGATTATGCTGAATATCTTGAAAAGGAATTGATTCAAATTCAGGATTCAGCTTGAAGCTCTTTAGCATATTTTCGCAAATGTGACATTCTGGATTGCACTTCATTTTCTGGCACTGATGAGGTAGACTGATTATTTAAAATAGAATGATGTACGATTTTCGATTCCGATAGATCTCCACCTTTAGATAATTCCGCACTAGAATTGTCCTTCTTTTTTCTGCTAGTCTTTTTTGTCTGCTTATCTGAGGTAACAATAGAGTTCAGTTGCATAACGTTTTCATCCATGCCAATGTTTGGTAAATGAGGTGAATCAGGAAAGTGATCTACTGTATCTGCTAAGCTGTGATTTCCATTCAACACGATTTTCATTAATATGGAAATTCCTTACTAGCACATATTTAGGAACCCTATTTTTGGAATTCCTAATTTCTTCGATTTGCTCAGGTGTTAAAATAGTAGCACCTCGGCGATAATAAGTTTTACTTTGATAAAAGACACTAAATATCGAAATTTAATATTTTACATGGATAAATAGTGTTAAAATCAAAGTTTAGGGAACAATCATCCCTAAAAATCTTATTTTGCAATCCACGCTCTCAAACATAAATACTTTGTAAATAATTGGTTTATAAAAAAAATTTATTCCATTAAATATTCATTTTTGCTTACCACGGTTACTTTAGATGAAGAAAGCATGACAATAAAATCCAGTAACAGTCGATAGTATTCTTGATTTACATAGTGCTCTCAATATAATTCTTAATTACAAATTTATTTAGATAATATTTTTTTGGATAATAATAAAAGAAGATATTAATATGGGTATATTCCGGGTTTGGGTAAAATTTTTAAATTTTTGGGGTATGGGTTTGGGTATAAAATTTTGATATCGTGCAACTTGTATATATTACGAAAACGTCAAGCAGTTTCTCCACAAAACATATCAAATGAGTGTGTAGTTTGTCCAGATGAAGTTGGATGGTTTTGGTTGGATGCCGTTTCTTATAAAAAAGAATGGAACTGATCTATCGGAAGAACAAGTTTCTAATACATGCATTCAAGCAACTGTAGATATTGAAAATGATTTAAAAGGTAGCGAAGATGATAAAAGATATATCATTGAATAGACAAATTTAAACTTATCACCTGAATCAAAAGAAATTTACATTAAAAAAATTAGAGAAAAATCGTGATCATATAATTTTTCTCAAAAGTCCCAATACTATATTTTACCTAAAAATAAATGTGGTTTTTGGTCATCTTTTTAAAAAAAATTTTTATCGGATTTTTTATTATATTATAATTATGACATCATCAAGTTACAAATTAATTTTTTGGGTATATAAAAATCCGAGCATAAAATCCTTTTAAGGAGTGTAACACGATAATAATCAAAGAAACCTTGACAATTTAAGGAAAAAGATTTATCATTCATTATACAGATCTATTGTTAATATTTAACTGTTTATTTTATTTAAAATATAATGTTACGACAGTGAAAATTAAGTGAATTTTTTAACCCACTATTATTAACCCATAATAATAACAATAACCAAATTATATATATGGTTAGGTGTCCATTACGGCGCCCCGCATATAAAACAACCCTATTTTTTAAATAATAACTAGTTTAAATAAATATTAAATGCTTATTAAATTGGATATGGAACTAGTTAATAATTAGACTTTGTAAAACTAATTTTTTGGAATGAATTGTTTCAAAAAAATGATAAGTTAAATAGTAATCACGATAGAAAGTTTTTGGAACCTAACCCGATCTTGTTTCAAGACTTGCTAAACCACAAGATGCTATAAAGCAACAAACAAAAACTTTACAATGAGGATTCAAGAAGTTGGCAAGAAGAAAATATATAAATAAATAAAAAATCCAATAATGAGAAAAGGAAAAAGAAGCATAATTGGAAAAAAAGTTTGGATAAAAATTTATATGGGAATTGTCAAACAAGCACATGGTGCATTCCCAACTTCTTTCAAAAACAACTTGGAAGGTTCTTCTTAACACCTCACATTATAAATTTCGAATCCGTTTATTTTTCAAAGATCAAAAAGTTGCCAAATTTACATCAAACCATCTGAGGCAATAAAAAATAATTGTAAACTCGATGGAAATAGAGATCGTGTGGGAAGTTTCAATGTTTGGTTTACGTTCCATTGCTGAGGGACATATACATGTATATGCATAGTGACACCTCGCATTAACTGGTTGCCCTCCATAAATGCATAAAGAATAATTTAGGAAATTTCATTTCACACAACATCTATGGTTACATACTAAAAAAAAAAATGTTTAAATAGCATACATACACATATTATCAAATTATTTATTAGCATAGATTAGCGATGGGTAATATTTGCTGTTGCGGGAAAGAAGACAAAGAAGACTATATTGATGATGTCATTAAACGACAACCTTCCAAAGACTCGTTGTCATCATCACAAGAATTAAAAAATGATTATAATAATGATAATAATAACCCATCGATAAATCCACCAATGACAATAACGGCAGTAACGGACGATAAAGATACTTACAATGATGAAAGAAAACAAGAGCATGGTATTTGTACAAAGTGTGCCAGATATAATACATCAAAGGCACGATGCAAATCGTGCGATCCAAATCCTGAGGATGTTAATGAAGAACCACTAGGTAGAAAATTAATTAGTCTAAAGTATTTCTTTTGTTTAATAAAATTTATTTATTTATTAAAAATGTTAGTATTTGTTTGGATGTAATTAGAGGATCCTGATAATCAATTTGAAATTGAATTACCTCATGAAAGAGAAGAGGATGAGGAGCCACCAGGTGAGTAGATTATTGAATCACGAAGGAATATATATAATAATAACAATTTTCAAATAAAATGTTTCTTTTTTTTGTATGTAATTTAGAAGATCCTGATCATCAGTTTGAAATGGAATTACCTCATAAAATTGAAAGTGATGATGATGACGGTGATTATGATAAGCCAACAGGTTGATACAAGATTATCTATGTAAATCAGTTTGGTAGTAATTTTAATAAATATTTTTTTAATAAATTAGATGCTGATAAACCTAATGGAGAAGAAGAAGAAGAACCACCAGGTAAATAGATTAAATTGATATAGTAAAGTTATATACTTACAATACAAATAATCATAAATGCGTATATTAGAGGATATTGACGGTCAATTTGGAATGGAATTACCTGATAAGATCGATGAAGAACCACCAGGTGAGTTGACGATATTGATTAATGTATTGAAGTTAAATTAGTTGATGTAATTATTCAATTTATTAATTAAAAATGATATATGTGTGTATGTGCATGTGTATATTGTTATTTTTAGAGGATATTGATGGTCAATTTGGAATGGAATTACCTGATAATATCAATGAAGAACCACCAGGTGAGTTGATGATATTGATTAATGTATTGAAGTTAATTAGTTGATGTAATTATTCAATTTATTAATTAAAAATGATATATGTGTGTATGTGCATGTATATACTTGTTATTTTTAGAGGATATTGATGGTCAATTTGGAATGGAATTACCTGATAAGATCGATGAAGAACCACCAGGTGAGTTGATGATATTGATTAATGTATTGAAGTTAAATTAGTTGATGTAATTATTCAATTTATTAATTAAAAAATGATATATGTGTGTGTGTGTGCATGTATATATTTGTTATTTTTAGAGGATATTGACGGTCAATTTGAAATGAAATTACCTGATGATATCAATGATGAACCACCAGGTGAGTTGATAATATATTGAAGTTAAATTGGTTGATGTAATTATTCAATTATTAATTAAAAATAATATACATGTGTGCGTATATGTATGTACTTGTTATTTTTAGAAGATATTGACGGTCAATTTGAAATGAAATTACCTGACAATATCAATGATGATATTAGCAATGATGAGCCAGCAGGTGAGTTGATGATATATTGAAGTTAAATTAGTTGATGTAGTTATTCAATTTATTAATTAAAAATGATATTCTAGAGGATATTGACAATCAATTTGAAATGAAATTACCTGATAATACTAATGATGATATTAATGATGAAGAACCACCAGGTGAGTTGACGATATTGATTTATATATTGAAGTTAAATTGGTTGATGTAATTATTCAATTTATTAATTTAAAATGATATATACGTTATTCCAGAGGATATTGACAATCAATTTGTAATGGAACTACCTGATATTAATGATGATGAACCACCAGGTAAAATAGACCAATTATTTATTTAAAAAGAAATTGATTTTATGGTTTTTTTTTTAATTATAATAATTATAATGTATTTTTTTTTGGGGCATAATTAGAGGATATTGATAATCAATTTTCAATAGAATTACCAACTAATCATGATATTGAAGAACAAGTTGATGAGGATGATAAACCTCCAGGTTGGTAGATAATATACTACTAGTAGTAGTAATAATAGCAATCATATTATTTATTTCAATAACATAACAATGTATTGTCTTCTATATATGTGCTTGTGTTTGTGTAGAGGATATTGATAATCAATTTGACATGGAATTACCTCTTGAAATCAAAAGTAATGATGACGAAAAAAAAGATGATGATGATGATGGCGGTGATGATGATGATGATGATGATGATGATGATGGTGATGATGGTGATGGTGATAGACTAGTCTCACTGACATCACTTTTTTTATCTAGACTATCTAGACTAGTTTTTCTGCTAGTGGTACTATTACTACCATTGCTAATATCACTGTAATTACTAGTTCTATTATTAGTAGCAGGTAAAGTTTCATATTTTTTTGAAGGAGTTTCTTTGCAATTATCATTAAATAATGAATTTGGTGAAGTAGAAAGTTGATTACAGACAATTTTGTAATTTGGTATTTGTTGCAATGATCGTTTGGATCTTGGTATGGGTGGATAAAATGAATTGCCTGTATGTAATATTAACAAGTAAGCATTTGTTAATATAATAAATAAACTTTTTTTTTTATTAATATATAATCTTTATTACCTTCTGAAAGGCGATCGGGTTTCTCAAAAGTAGAACGACTTCTTCTAACAGGCGTCGGAATTGGATTCTCGTTGTAATTTTCAAATAAATGTTTTAACGAGAGTAGCTCATGACAAGATATCGATAATGTGATTTTGACACCATTATTTTCAGAAAATGGAGCTTTTTATAAAAAAAATAAAATTATTGATTAAATGATGACTTTTTTTATTTTAATTACGTGACTATTTACCTTTTATAACAGTACTTTGCATTAGTCTTTGCCAAAGCAAACCAGTACTTTCTTTAACAGAACCTTTAGCAAGTTCAATCTTCGAGTTGAAAAAAACATTGTCCCTATATCTGCAACGCAGTATAAGATTAATTTCCGGCGTACTTTTTAACAAAATAGCCACAGGGTACTTCCATCTATCATAAACTATTTTTTGGTAGCTAATGGTCTGATATGCTTTTGATTCATTTATTGAAAATTCCAAGAGAAAATTAAAATTTTTCTCTTTATTTACTCCTTCACTAAATTTAAATATATAATATAAAGTTTTGTTATTATTAGTGACACTTTTCAACACATTCAATTATTACTATTATTAAATATTATCATCATTAATTATATTTATTAAAGAAAATTACACACCATCTTATATCATTTATCAAAAGCACACCAATTTTTTCATCTAGATGTAGCGGATTACTGTACACCTGCATTTGATTTAAAGGTGCTTTCTATTTATTTTAATAACAACATTATTATTATCATCATTATCATCATTTTCCTTCCTCACTTTAAATTGTTTGATTAGTTAATATAGTGGTTGATTAAGTTACCTTAGACAAAAAGTACACTTCAAATGATATTTCACCTACTTTCTTTTCACCTTTGAATAATTCGCGAGTGACTAAATGATCAAATAAGAATAATTTTTAATTCCTTTTTCCCACACTATTATTCCTCCCCACTATTATTTCTCAATTAATTTACCTTTATGGTTTTCATTACTGAATATTTCAATATTTTTTAAATCTTCCTTAGCATCACCAATACGGTCTCTAGGACCTTTAGATTTATCCCAACAACGAAAACATATTTCTGTTCTTAGTTTTGGATAAAATTCAAAAACAATCGTTTCACTCCATTCTGCCACCATGTCATTTACACTTTGGGCAGAATATCTTTAAAAAAAATTTTAAAAAATAAATAAATCAATAAATCATCAATTATTAAATTCATATAATCATAATCATAATCATCATAATAATATTACATTTTCGAAGCAGATGTGACTTTTGTTCTTTCATTGTATTCTATTTCAAGAGCCACCTCAATTGCCTCCCTGTTTCTTGTGCTTAAAAAAGAAAATAATCTTCTCTGAGGGTTTTCTATATTATCCTCCGGGATTAATCTGAAAATGATGATTTGATAAATAAATAATTTGATAATTGTTAAATAAAAAATAAAAAATAAATAGCAGAAAATAAATTACATATTTAAATCTTTGATTACAAAGAAGCCACTTGAATGATTTGATGAATTATTCCTATTTTCAGGCATTCTTTTGATAAAATATTAAATGATTTTTTTACAAGGTAATTTATTATTAGGAGAATTTAAATATTTAAAGATAAGTTTAATAGTAATGATGATAATGATAATGCTATAAACTACTACTTCTACTACAAATGCTTTTATTCATAAAACTTTGCCCAAAAAAAAAAATTTAAAATAATAAATATTGCTTATCCAACCCAAATATAACGTCGTCAATAAATTGTCATGCAGGGTGTGGACTTATATTAATATGTATACTGTATTACAGTATGGTGCAAATGTACAAATTAGTGAGTCACATTTTCGGTATGGTGCCAACCAGTGTGTAAAATTCAGCGGGAGGGTATAATGTTACGCGACCCGCGTGCACACATTTTTTAGAAATTTTTAATTTAATTATTATAATGAATATTGTATTATCCTTCTTGTTTTTTATTTTTCAATGCTCTAGTGCTTTAAAAAATCAAAAATTTCAATTTGTGGTCTATTATTAAATGATCATCTAATGTGTCTACATTCATTTGTTTTCTCATATTATTTTTAATTGACTTTGTTTGAGAAAATCTTCTTTCTACATGAGCATTAGAAAGGGGTATAAGAAATCCTATTCTAGCAACTAATAATATATTTGAATTATTAAAAGGAAAATCCTCATCAGTATCTAAATTGTGTTTTCACAACTGAATGAAATTGATTTCTCTATTATTATTTTATAGTACTAAGAAAAGTTTGTTGAATTTATTCTTGTTAAGTTCTCCTTTGTCAATGATTCCACTAAATTTATTTCCATTTGCAAATTTAATTTCTCCATAGAAATTACCTATAATTGCATTTAAATTTTAGTTAATTTATTTCGTGCACACATATTTATAGTGTAACGTTACACTCTCCTACTGAATTTTATACACTGGTGCCAACCGAAATTTTAAATGATTATCTTCACGTGATTTGTCAAAGTGAAAACATTTTTATTGGTCAAAATACCAAAATTATTTATCTCAAATAGGGATGGGGACGGTTTATGTCACGTCCGGCGATGAATAATATTTTTAATAATTGATCCGTGACGATTAATATACTAAATTACAGGTGACATTTATATTGCCAAAACAA